AACCTAGTCATAGGATACACCGCTACGTGGTGACTAGGACGAGTAAGCTAACTGTTTAGCTGAAACTAAGTATCCTTCTAGGTACGTATTTTATTACTTATTAGTTTTGTATTTATCGATAATAATTTCAAATAATTTCGCATTTTAGTTTTTTTTTGTTCGCTTAATAAATAGTGGAAAATTTAAGTTTTCGTCGTTTTGGTGTCGTTGTCAAATAAATTTTCGTTTTGATGTCGTCGTTTTGGTGCCAGCGTCGAAGAAATTTTAAGTTTTCGTCGTTTTGGTGTCGTCATTGAAGAGATTCCAAGTTTCGATGATTTTTTTTTTTAAGAAAAAATTTTTTTAAATAAAGTCATTAGCAATCTTTAAAGATCCGACCAGGGTTTAGTTTTTTTAAAATCATATATTAAAAAATTTTTATTGACGAATACCCGTTAAAAATTTTGTGCTAAAAAAAAAAAATTTTAATAGTAAATTGCTTTAAAAATAAATAATATTTTTCATAGATTCTCTATTGAATACTGATTTTCTAGTATATTATCTATTATTGTATTAAATCTTTCTGTTGTTTAACTAATAAAAAAAAAATTGGGAGTTTTTTTAACTGTACTCAATAAATTTTGAACGAAGAAATTTTACTAATACCTCATTGATTTTTAATATTCAAAGATATTTTCGAGCTTTATAAATTAATAGAATTTGAAAATAATCTTATATCTTTGTTCAAAAATTTATTACGTACTAATTGACTAACAATTTTTTAGTCAATTGTAGATTTGCATTTTAAAAATTTATCAAATTCCCGTGCAGTGTGTACTAATGTTAATCACTATAATATTATTACGTGTATTATTACGTGGTGTTTTTATACGCTTGATTTTCCTAAAAAGTCTAATTATTTTTCAAGACAAAAAAAGAATACTGAATTAAATTTCATACTTACGCATTCAAAAAATAGTTAAGTAAAAAAAAAACTTTTTTTACAATATTTAAATTTAAATTTGAAGTTTATAAAAATAAAATTTTGATGTAGATATTTTTAATAATTCGAATTTGAATGTAATTTGATTCAAAATTCGAAGCAATAACCAAATAAGTTCTCATCCGAATAATTCGTAATAAATAAAAAAAAAACTTTAATTATTTTTTTTCGAATTTTAAGTAACGCTCATAATCTGATTTTGGTGGCGATACTAAGTGTGTTCATGAAGCTTGTCGAATGATAATATCAGTTAAGTAAACAGACACGATACTAAAACATTCTCAATGAAAAATACGCGTGGCAATGTTTTGAAATTCTAAGCAAAGACTCAAGCGAACGCATTAAGAAAAATACTTCAAAGTTATTTAAGGGGCATAACATTGGGAACGGTTGGCTGTGACTAAGGAAGTTACAGTCTAGCAAAAACCACGATCTGATCCAGTTTTTAGACTAGTCTATAAATTAAAACCGGGTTAATAAGTTAGTACTTAATAAATGTATTAGTAATTATATAACTAGCTTTTTCTAATATTTATAGATTAATATATAAAAGTTTTATCGTTATTAATTCATTCAATATCTATAAAATATAAATAGATATTTACACTCAATTGTTTTATTCTTATACAGTATTTTTAATTGTCGCGGCTGATGCTGAAATTTGGGGTCTTGATTTGAAAATATAAGCCCTGCTAAACTACACATATATACTTTATTTATCCAAAAAATTGTACATAATAAAATTTTTTAAATTTATAACACTGTTGGTAACGCCAAATTCTCTGGAATGGCCAGAATTATGCAGGTCACAAAGATCATTCCAGACAACAAAAAAAAAAAAGAAAAGCATAAAAAATATGAGAAACGGCAGCCTAAACCTATCTTGGTGCAATAATGAAAATGTCAGAAATGCAATTTTATATCGATATATAATGCATTCCTAAACTAATTCTAGTGCTAATTAGATAAATAGTTCTGGCCAATTTCCGGAAAACTTAAACTGTATTCTGACGCTGTTGGTATTGTACTTAATTTCTCTAATTTTTTCTTCTACCCCGTGTGGCATTACGGTTTACGGTATTACAGGTAACGATTACAGCGATACTGGTAACTTAACTATTTTAGAAGGCTATAATTATACCGAAATTTCAAAAGAACATGTAAAAAAAAAAGATCACATAAAAGTGCATGTTAATATGTGCCGTGTTGCATGGGATATTCACATATGTTTAGCATCTTAGATCAAAAATCTAGTTCTCTTTTATTGCTTTATATTATAGAGCATTCACAATACACTCCCTGCACTAATATGAATATAATGTCTCTTTTTTAAATTTATTCAAAAACTTCATTATTTATTTAGCATCTTAAATAAATACAAAAATTGTTCCCTACTCGAAATTACTTTTAATATATCTGATTCACAAGGCTCACTGCATTAGCACGATTCTTTATCTTGTTCTTTTGAATCTTCTGAAACTTCTGAAACATTCTGTGTATGCTTGTCATGTTCTTTTGAATCTTCTGAAACTTCTGAAACATTCTGTGTATGCTTGTCATGTTCTTTTGAATCTTCTGAAACTTCTGAAACATTCTGTGTATGCTTGTCATGTTCTTTTGTATCATCTGAAACTTCTGAAACATTCTGTGTATGCTTGTCATGTTCTTTTGTATCATCTGAATCGTTTTGAGTGTAAAATCCCCTAAATCTTTCTATATACATTCGATATGGTCCTCTTTCGATGCGCTCATGACGCACTTATTGGATTGTATATACTTTAATATGTACATGACTACATAAAACATTAAGAATCAATATTTTAAAAAATAACCTGGTGTTTCGGTTGACTTTTGAACTTTTATATCGAAATCCAGAGGCTCTGGCAAGGTGTGAATTTCATCAGCTAATAACTGTTCTGAAATTTTTTCGTCTTTATAGCTAACCCATCCGAAACGAAGCAACCTTTTGCTTTCTAAATCCTATAAATAACATTTGAATGGATTTTATCCTTTATTCATGAAAGTTTATATAAAGCTAGATTTAGGAATAAGCTTTACAAACCCGCGCAAATTTGAATTCTATCAAGGGTCCTTTTTCTTTAAAGAACGAATAAAGAATTTGAGCTTCCTGAGGGGTTCTGATATTCCGAGGAAAGGTTGTGAAATAAATACGAGTAGGTTTCGCTATTCTTGTTGCCATATTCTAAACTTAAAACAATTAATTTTTTGTGTTGTCGATATCGATATATTATACTTTCTGATATAGATAATCGAAATTTCAGTTGATCCGCAATTTTTAATGCCGATCATAGGAAGACATTCGTCTGATTGGCTAATGTAAATCAATTGCCTGGGTAACGCAAAATTTTCGATTTATTTTGATTCTGCCTAGAATTAAGCTTCAAGTCAGTAACTCTGGCTGGAATTAAGATCACTTGATTATTTCGAATTTCGGGTACTATAAATTTTTAATCACATGATAATATTTGTCTTGAGCAAATAATATCATTCTCATGTTATTATTTATTTTTATATGCAAAAAATTTCGATTTAGGCAAAAAAAATCCGAACTGGGGTAAAATCACCACCCTAAAAAGTCAAGACCAATCAAATCTCAAGATCAAGTGTAACGTAACACGATCAGAAAAATTCAGCTTATACCCCAAAATTTCGTTTATGAAACTGTCTTCTACGTATTAATTAAAAGTTTTCCTTGTAAAATTTTGCTATAGCGATAGTGAATGATTTTAGACAGTAAAATCACTGCCCTAAAAACTTTCAAGACCAATCAAATCTCAAGATAAGGTGTAATGTAACACGATTAGAAACATTCAAAACAAACGTTCGTTTTGTCAAAAAACGCCTATAACCCAAAATTTCGTCTATGAAACTGCTTCTGCGCATTAATTAAAAGTTTTCCTTGTGAAATTTTACTATTATGAATGATTTTAGACACCAATCTAATGACAAAATTCTAACCCTAACCTAAAAAAACGAAATTTTACTTGAAACTTTTTTTGGTGGCGGTCTACCCTTGTCCGATCACTTTAGACCAATTAAAGTAGTGCCATAACTAGAGTTGGAGGCACAGGGGCATGCTTCCAGAAGCATGCCTAGTGCATGCCTTTTGATCAAAAGGCATGCCTCTATCATGTGATATAGAGCTATTATATAATTGGCCAATTAGAATAAAAGCCTACTATTGATAAGATATGATATATATATCTATAGAGGCATGCTGGCCAAATCCCAACTAATATCTCAAAAACTTTATTAATAATTTTTATTTAAACAAATAGTATATCTTCTTATAACTATATATAATATATTTACAAATATCAAAATTATTTTGTTAATTTAATTTTTATAAAAACAATTTGTTTTTTTAGAGTTTGGGATTTGTTTGAGTTTTGTTAGCAAGTATAGACATGCCCCAAGCACAGAAGAGCATGCCTTTTACAAAAGCATGCCTTAAAAATTTGTCATGCTTTCAACTTTAGTTATAACATATCACTTTATTAATTTATTTAACTGTTATATTTCAATTTTTTTTTAAGTTAAAGTTTTTGCCTTTGGAAATTGATGTTTTTATTCAAGTATTTGAACATGGATGCCTCTAGAGACTTTTATACATAGGAGGTTACAACTAGTCACATGTGCATTTTTGGTGTCTAATTTAAGTAGTTTGCTTATATATTACTATACAGGTTCTACATTAGATGTTATATCTGCAAGCCAACTACAGGTCTTGTCTATTTGAACTTTTTATATATGTAGTCCAACTTGTAATTATGAAAACATCTTCTGAGTTACACTTATCCAAAATATCTAATGCTTTTGAGATCTTTAGGACTAATTTATTTTTGATAAGAAACTTACTAGAATTTTTTATATCTTACATATAGCTAACTTAGTTTTATGCAACATGTTATAGTTACCTAATACTTGTAGTTATAAGAATTATCTATTTAACTATTACATTATACTATTTTTATTCTTGTAAAGTTTACTAAAAACCCAATACCTATTATTGTAATATCTTCTTTATTATTCTTTACTAATTGCTATTTAGAACTAATAAGACTTTTCTAATTTCTAATCCAGATAGCTTGGTATAGTATATATAAGTATCTTTTTTTTTGATAATTCTGGCAGTCTAGTTGGTCATATGCTTTTCTATACATCTTGTTATCTGGTTTATTTATCTATCCTTTTGAGAATGCTTTATAGCTTTCTATTAGTTTAACTATATTATCAAAAGTTCATGCTACTTCTTTATTTGGCTATTTTTAAGTAGGTTTCTGACTCTTCAGTTCTTTAGTTTATTGTATTAGTGGTCTTATCATAAGTTTGCACTGAGGTTTTATGTGATACTAATTATTAACATTTCTTTATATATATATAATATTACACTTTATATAGATGCTCTAGCTCCTATTTGAGATTGTACAACTTAAAATTACAAATACACTAATCTAACTAATCATCAAGAGACAGTTTGCTATAATACAAGTTAATTTCTAAATTTTATTATATATAGAATTTGAATCTTAGACTTGTTACTTAGAGAATAACAATCTAATTACTATATTAGAATCATTATCTTCTTGATTTTTTTTTTTTTTTAAGTAATCATGTTAGTGCTTTATTAAGATTTTTGAAACTACTATTATAATTACATAAATATACCTAACAACTAAGCCTAGCATCATCTGGCTACCCTAATGGCACCTAAGTGCAACCTGTCACATTACTTCTAGCAAAAGTAAACTGCTTGTTTAACTACTTAAAGTCTGTAATGAAAGGGTCTTTCCTCTTTCATGACAAGCTTATTAATTGTCTTCTTAACTTCTTTTTTTATTTGCTTTTTTTTTTCTTTCTTCTATCACTTGCTGACTAACCTTTTTTTTTTCTTTTTACTTGACTTTCCTTTTTCCTTCAGTCTTCTTTTTTTCTCTCTACTTATTATTCTTCTTTCTTTTTCCCATGTGTTAACTTTTTTATAGCAGATTTTTCAAACTTTTTTGTAAAATATGTTTTATGTTGTTTCTGCTACTATGTTTATAAACTGTTGTCTTGTTTTTGTACTCCAAATTTAAAATAATCTGTCTTGCATTATCTTTGAGATTAGGCCTTTGATCAATGCTTTTCTTATTTCTATTTTATCTCATTCTGTTTGTCCATAAAGTGTTATATATAATATATAAGGTGGGACTTATATTTTTTTTTTCTTTTAAACTTTTTCATGCTGTTGTAATAGATACTTTCTGTATCCTTTTCTATAGATTTGCTTGCCCCTTACAAGATGCTAAATGCTCTTACATTTCTTTAACTTTGATTTGCTAAACTTGGCATTCTGCTATTATATATATTTGACCTTCTTCTATTCAGTTCTTTTAATGTTGGAAGTTTGTTTAATATACATTTCATAAAAGTACTTCTTTTTGTATTGCTTCTTCTTATCAAACAATATACTTCTTTAGATAATTTTGGTCTTCTTCAAAACTATATTCAATTATAAGTTATTACTTCTGCTTCTAATTCTATATTCTTGATTACTATTATTTCTTTTTACTCTGCTTTTAGTCTGGCATTTGTTACTATTTTATATAAAAGTTTTGCTAATATGTCTATTTGCTTGTTTTTTTACTTTAAGTAATACTCTATTTTTTTCGTAGCTGACTTCTTTTAGAAAAATTATTTTTTTACTTAATGTTTTCTTTTTTATAAGACTATCAGCTTTATTATTTTATTTATTTCTACTATGACTTTTTACTTTGATCTACTCTATCTGTATATTTTTTGTTCTAATTATATCTATTATTTTCAATACTCATAGCATATTTTTCTTCTTAAGAACTTCATTTCTATCTATATACACTAAGCCTCTATCAATGTTTCTAATTGGTGCATTGCTATCTGTAAATATTTCTAATTTTTTTTCTTTTTGGTATTGTTAAAACTGCTGTCCATATTGCTAGCACTTCAGCTATAATGGATATAGGCCATCCTTTTACTCCTAATGTTACCTCCTCTTCTGGTCAATTTTGTTTTACTTATTTGTACTCAATCTATACTTATATTTTTATCTATTGTTTCTTCTTTGATTTTTTTATTTGTCACAGATCGAATGAATAAATAAAAAATGAATAATAGGTAAATAATAGAAAAAAAATCTGCTATTATTTTACCTTATATCTGCCAAATAATAGCAACATAACAGTAGCATAATAGTAAAATAAGAATAAAATAATAGGAGGTTTGTTAATATAAGTAACATAATAGTAACATAATAGCAAAATAATAGAACTGTTTTATTATTTTACTTTTAGTTACAAAGACTAAAGTAAAATAATAGAACAGTTTTATTATTTTGTTATTATGCTACTATTATGTTATTTATATTAACAAGCCTTCTATTATTTTACTCTTATTCTGCTATTATGCTGCTGTTATGTTACCATTATTTGGCAAATATAGGGTAGAATAATAGCAGTTTTTTTTTTCTATTATTTACCTATTATTCACTCTTTATTTATTCATTCAACCTGTATGCTATACTATCTGTATATATTGTATATTTATTTTTGTTTCTCAATATATTTCTTTTCAAGATCTTTACTAATTTTTGACTAACATTCTCTCTTACTTTTTGTTTTCTAATTAATTTTATTTCTAGACCTTCTACTATTTTTAGTCCTATTAGCTTTTGTTTATTTTTTTTTAGCTTTTCTGTTCTCATATATCCTATTAGTTAGTTAGTAGTTAACTTAATTATATTATTGTTTCTTCCTATTAGCATATCTGGAACTATATTTAATTTGTTGTTGATTTTTATCCAATATTGACAGCTATTTTCTTCTGTTTCTTCTTCTTTCATACATTTATTACATTTATTGATTTTTGTTATTAAGTCATTTTCTTTTTTTTTTTTTTTTTTTTTTTTTAAAGTTTCTTTTTTTTTTTTTTTTTTTTT